GGGGAGGGGTGGGGGATTAAGAAGGGGGAGGGATTAAGCAGAAGGGGGAGAGGTGGGGGATTAAGAAGAACAGGGGGTGGGGGATTAAGAAGAAGAAGGAGGAGGGGGAATTAAGAAGAAGGGGGGATTAAGAAGAAGGGGAGGGGAATTAAGAAGGGGAAGGGGGAATTAAGAAGAAGGGGGAGGGAGGGGAATTAAGAAGAAGGGGGGATTAAGAAGGAGGGGGGGAATTAAGAAGAAGGGGAGGGGTGGGGGGATTAAGAAGAAGGGGGGAGGGATTAAGAAGAAGGGGGGAGGGATTAGAAGAAGGGGGAGAGGTGCAGGGATTAAGAAGAACAGGGGGGTGGGGAGATTAAGAAGAACAGGGGGGTTGGGGGAATTAAGAAGAACGGGGGGATTAAGAAGAATGGGGGGTTAAGAAGAACAGGGGGAGTAAGAAGAACACAGAGAGGAGGGGGAAGAGTAAGAAGGACGCAGGGAGGAGGGGAGAGAAGGGGAGATGGGGAGAACACAGGGAGGGGGGAGGTGAGAAGAACACAGGGAGGGTGGGGGAGTGAGAAGAACACAGGGAGGGTGGAGAGAGTGAGTAGAACACATGGGGGGAGGTGAGGATAACACAGGGAGGGAGGGGGCTTAAAAGAATACCGGAGGTTTGGGGGGGATGAGAAGAGCACAGGGAGGGTGGGTGTGAGAAGTGACTGCTAGGGAAGGGGGGGGAGAGCTATAGGACAGGGGGCAGGACAGGGAGCTCTTTCACACTACGCGCACACACACACACAATGCATCCCTATACATACACAGACACACAATGCATCCCTACACACACAGAAACACAACATGCTTCCCTTACACACAGAGAAACACACAATGCATCCATTACACACAAAGACAATGCATCCTTTGCACACATACACAGAAACACACAATGCAAACCCTTACACACACACATGCAAACACACACACTGCTTCTCTTACATATACACAGAAACACAATGCATTTCATACACACACTCAATGCACACACTACAGACACACACCTTGCATCCTTTATGCATACAAACACAGATTCACACAATACATCGCTTATACACAAACACACACTGCCTCCACTACAAATACACTGCATCACCTACACAAACTGGTATCCCTATACACTACATACCATAAGCAGACACATTAGATCCTCTACAATAACACATAACACATCCCCTACACACTCCACTCCCTGTGAGCGAACTCATGGGTGGAACATGTAGGTGGACTTTTAGGTGGGCCTTATGGGCATACTCACCGTCAGGCCCTGGGACCCAGACCTTGAGCTGTTTAAGGGGCCCCCAAAAAATGGAGCTGCTTCCTATTCTACTAGAACTTTGAATTTTGTGACCACAGTTACAAACAGCCTTAAGAGATCCTCTTCTACACCAGACCAGTGGAGCCAAACCGCAGCCCATCATCATCCTCATCTGGTTGTAAGTAGGCAATCTAGTATATTATTAGTGACACTAATTTATAATTTACCTCACATTAAAGGGACACTATAGCTTAATGAAGTGGTTCTGGTGTCTATAGCCGGTCCCTGCAAGCTTTTTAATGTAAACACACACTGTGTGCAGCTTTGGCGTTAGTTCATATGGGTGGGGCATTGTGATGTTACATGGGGGGGCAGCTAATTTTTCCTTTGCCTAGGGCAGCAAAAATCCTTGCACCGGCTCTGATCCTGGGCAGGTGCACCAGTATACTTGTGACCCACAGGAGGGGATTGCACTGCACTCTCCTCCTGCCCAGACCTGTCTTTACCGCAGTGCAAGTGCCCTCTGCCCCTAATTTACAGTGCCTGGAGCCCTTTGCAGCGATGGGAACTAAGAGGTTCTGCGGCAGGTGGCCATCCTGCAAGCATTACATTAAACAGCTGTTCCCCATGCAGCCACAGGTGGCGCTGTGCTGGGAGAATGTGATTACTCTTCACTTCCTCCCAGCCTACAGCACAGCGCATGGGAGAGGGAGAGGAGGAGGCATCATTTAATCTTACAACAAATCCATTAAGCAAATCTTTGGGGGGATCAGCGCTGTTTGCACAGTTTATTGGTGTTTACTCTGATGTCTGTATTAATATTGAGGGTTTTCTAAGTAGTAACATCAGTATGTGTCAGCAGGGCCAGCCGTTGGGGTGTGCAAGCTGTGCATTCACGCAGGGTGCCATCACAACAGAGGCGCCCGGCGGACAACACAGCTCACAAGTTGGGGACCCCAGCATATTCAATTTAAACGATTCGCTGGTGGTCCACTGGTGCGCACCAGCAGTAGGTGCAGTCAGATTATATCCTCTCCCTCATGGTTCTGGCGCTCAGTTAGTGAGTCAGAGCACAGGCTCAGAGATTCTCAGCCTGCGCTCTGACAAGATTGAAAGTCAGAGCCGTGAAGGAGCGGGTATGGCAAAGAGCTACTGATTAGCATAACATCAATATCCGTTATAAAACCAGGTGGGCATGGATGGTGAACTGATTTGGTGGTGCAATGGGCCACTTGACTGGTTTTGCCCCCCAGGCCTAAGGCTGCCAGCCCTCCCCTGAGAACAACGAGGAGACTTTGAGAGTTTTATTTTTGCCAGCTTTAGGATATTAATCTGCAAACATGCTTTTCCTTGTTACCTGTTTCGATACCAGATTCAGATCTCTGTGCATTGGTTTTGGGCTGTGGAATCTGCACTTATGTTTTATTTCCTGTGTCCTCATATCACTTGCAGGGACACAATTATGGTATCTCTGAAATGCAAGTAAATAAAAACGCAATTTCAACCAACTACATATACAGTTAGTCTGGTTTGGGAAGAAATGTGTTATGAAAATAATATAACAAACACACACTATTGATTTTCCTTTGGGAGTAAGTGCCATTAATGTAGACAACTCAGTGAATCTGCTTTATTATTAATTATTATTATTATTATGATGTTATTTATATAGCGCCATCAAATTCTGCAGCACTTTGCAGTGGGTGGACGAACAGACATGTAGTTGTAACCAGACAAGTTGGACACACAGGAACAGAGGGGTTGAGGGCCCTGCTCAATGAGCTTACATTCTAGAGGGAATGGGGTAAAATGACACAAAAAGGTAAGGATAGTATTAGACTAGTGACAGTTGCAGAAGAGGAATCAGTCGGGAGCTATTAACAGTTTAATTGATACGCTTTTATGAAGTAGTGGGTTTTTAATGATTTGTTGAAGGAGTGGAGACTGGGTCAGCATCTAACGGAGGAGGAAAGAGAGTTCCACAGGAACGGTGCAGCCCTCGAGAAATCTTGAAGGCGAGCATCAGAGGTGGGAGTACGGACAGAAGATAGACGTAAGTCTTCAGCAGATCGTAAGGGCCTAGACAGGACATACTTGTGTATAAGGGAGGATGGATAGGTGGGAGCAGCATTATGTAGAGATTTGAAAGCAAGAACCAGAATTTTAAATTGAGCTCTATATTTTATAGGAAGCCAATGTAGGGACTGACACAAGGGTCAGTTTATAAATCAATGACTAATCACTATATTAGCCAGATCGGTGAAAAATCACTACCAGACCTCTGCTGCCCTCTGCTGTTATTCAGATTTATTGCACCAGATATTCAGATGCAAAATATATATATATATATATTTTTTTTAATACATGGATTAATAAACTTTATTTTTTAATCTACTTTTGGAAATACGTGAGTGCTAATCACTATCTACTGGTATGTAAAACTCCCCCTGATTTTGAGCACCCGGCCTTAACGTCTTTTGGAGCCAGAGTGCAAGGACTTTGTGGATTGCACAGTGACATATTTTGGAATTTTTTTCTGAGAGAGGTCTTATTTTAGCGTGTTCAGATCTTTTCATGTCCTCACAATATTTAGGATACAACAAAAACCAAACTGAAGTGTTCTTGGACTACCTGGTTTCAATGGAACTTATATATGAATTATACAAACTATTAGGGTGAGACATTCCTGGGAATTGCAAATATAAAACCTATACCCAGATATATAATGGTTTCCAAATAAATAGTCCCCGCACCCAAACATCTACTGGAGGTAGACAAACACCAATCAGGTAATGTCTCTGGGTGCAATTACCGCTGCAGCCATCACTGGTACCAGAACTAAACGTGTCCTGGTAAGGTGCAGTAATAAGCATCAAATCGCTCTTAGTGTTCATAAACATCTCCAGAGCCAACAACAGCCATTACTAGTTAATAATATTCCATATCTTCCATTTCCACCAGTACAACGCTCTATAGCTGCATACACGCTAGAACATTAATTATTCAAGATCACATAAATAAAAGTTAATTACCTCGCACTGCTCCGTCGTGTGACGCATGAATTTGGCCATGGCGGAAAATGCTTCCTCCAGACATTCACGCTCATCTAAAGGCTGCAAATATTGATATGAAAGGAATTTGTAAAACTAATGCAGTGACTGTGCAGACATATAGCGATTATAGGAGGAAATAAAAAGTTATCTGTAGAATGAAAAGAAACATTGCCAGCAAATCATTAAAAATAAAATACATCTTTTTTTATTTATTGAGGGATAGATCTACCCTAGAAAGCAACACATACTATAATTGTGACGAGACCAATCTCGCCACATTGCATTGGAGAAGCCTGGTTGCCCGCCTGCTGCCTTTGGACTATGGCCCCATGTTAAAAGACTTTGTTTCGCCTGCAGAAAAGCTTTATTCGTGCTTTTCTGCCGGTTGTTTGGTAGATTCAATCTACCGAACAACCGCACGAATGAATAGACCACTGCTTGACCCTCAACACGGAGCCTTGTCTCGTCTTTGGGGGGGGGGATTTACTGAATGCTGATAGAGACTGATTGCTAGGAGTGTGAGCCGCTTGGATGCTTTTCCTATTCGTCTGCTAGCAGCAATTCATATGGTTCCTGTTCGTGTGTTTGGAGTGCTATATTGGATGCCGTTCGGGAGTTTGGAGCATTCACTTATTGGCGGTTCGTGTGTTTGGTGTTCTGCAGTAGCTGTGCCTGCATCTCTGGAAAGGGGGCCGATCGCCTAAACGGTTTTTACCCCTTTTGTGCAAAACGGTCCGTTACAATTGGTGGCAAGCGGCGGGATCGTTCCCACAGACAACAGGACAGCTACAGGCAACACCATTCAGTGGATTTTTACAATTTGAGGGCAACGCATGTCCCAGTACAGCGACCCTGACAGCACCGAGATGGAACCAGCAGTGGAGTATGACGAGGGTGCCCTGGATGACCGAGATGCACTGCGCAAAGGCATCTGGTACCAGGCACTGGGTATGGTGGAGTACCAGCGGGGCGAGAGACTCCCCAAGGAAGATCAGCGACTGCAGAAGCGAGTGGCCCTGCGGATGCCCTTTCTGGGAGAGCAGCCCCTGGATGAATGGGTGAAGGAATTGGAGCTCCGAGTATGGCAGGAGATTTGGCTGGAAGATGCCTACCAGGCGCTCTGGTGGTATGGGGCACAGTACCTGCCCTGGACAGCCGAGCATGACAAGCCAGAGGGAGAGGAGTTTGATGGTCCTGGCTTGTTATGGGAGTCTTTTACAAAGCCTGAGTTTGGGAGCCCTACACAAGCCCGGTTCAGTGATCTCTTGGAGTGGAGGGAGAGCAGGTATGACTGGGACGACACTCACGAAATTGAGCAAGACCTGGTCCACCTGGTGACCCGAGAGATGGAGCTGGAGCAGGGCTACCAAGATCTGTTCCACTCCAGTGAGAAGGCTCAGCAGGGAAGCGCAGACCCAGATCCAGACCCCTTCAGCTGGGTAGATATTGCAGAGGATTACTGGGAAGAACCCCAGGTGGCGGGTGGAGATGAGACCAAGGTCTCTCCACCGGTATTGAAGGGAATTGGGAGCCCAAGCTCCATTCCCCAGCGGCAGACTAAGTTACAGGGGGCAGAGACAAGTGGTCCTGTTCCCCAGCAGCAGTGTTCCTTGCAGGGAGAGGAGAGCAGCGTCCTCCCTCCCCAGTGGCAGGGTGAGCTACAGGGATGCTGGGCAGTCGGCTCAGATCCCCAGCGGCAGTATGATGTTTTGGGAATTGGGAGCCCAGTCTCCATTCCCCAGCGGCAGTGTGATATGCCGGGAATTGGGAGCCCAGTCTCCATTCCCCAGCGCCAGTATGATGTTTAGGGAATTGGGAGCCCAGTCTCCATTCCCCAGCGGCAGCACAGATTATTGGGAATTGGGAGCCCAGTCTTCAGAGGAGCTTGTTACCCCCTCTCCCCAGCGGCAGCTTAATGTACCAGGGGGAGACAGTAAGCCCCACAACTGTGCAGATGGGACCGTGGTCTCTGCACGTCCATTCAATCTACCGAACAACCGCACGAATGAATAGACCACTGCTTGACCCTCAACACGGAGCCTTGTCTCGTCTTTGGGGGGGGGGGAATTTACTGAATGCTGATAGAGACTGATTGCTAGGAGTGTGAGCCGCTTGGATGCTTTTCCTATTCGTCTGCTAGCAGCAATTCGTTTGGTTCCTGTTCGTGTGTTTGGAGTGCTATATTGGATGCCGTTCGGGAGTTTGGAGCACTCACTTATTGGCGGTTCGTGTGTTTGGTGTTCTGTAGTAGCTGTGCCTGCATCTCTGGAAAGGGGGCCGATCGCCTAAACGGTTTTTACCCCTTTTGTGCAAAACGGTCCGTTACATTGTACTTTATATTGTAAAGTTTGTGGCTTGTTTACTAAAATATGAGTGAGGCACATAAAATCAGTTCTTTATAAGGTAAAAATACTAGCTTTGGGTGGGTGGTTCACTTTAATGTATAAATCACGGATTGCATGGCGCATGCACATTCACCTATCGCAGAGCTGAGATTTCACAGATCATGAAACTGACCTTGTCCTGCTCCGGTGACATCTGCTCCTGACACATTTGCCGTCCATGTTTGCAGGAGACGGACCAGTTCACTTCCCTCCGCTTGGCTCGTTCTAGAACCTCCAGACCAAGCTCAGCCGTCTGCTTTAAGGAATATTCCATCCATTTATATTTCTTCTCCATTCATGCCCGGCAAAGAAGCAAAAAACTTGTCAAAAACAAAAATCCCATTATTACAATGTGAAAGGGAAACTATAACTAAAAGAGACATAATATTGCAAAAAAAGGGAAATTAACCCACCCCACATACTAACCCCCCCCCCTACTAAAATGACAATTGGGACATTATATTATTCAGGCCCCAAATCGCTAACAGAATGCTTGTTCTGTCCAGGCAAGGCAATCCTACTTACATACACCAGATTTAATATCACATCTTTTATGAATCTTCCCATCCTTACAAATCATACCAGCCGGTCTGACGACATTTCACTGCATCATCCAGAATAAGAAGCCGATCAAAGCAAGGTAAGTGGTTTTTCTACATGGTGACTCCTGGCGTTAATGATATGCTCTAACATTCCTAACAGAAGGCTTTCAAAAGTACTTATCTGTAAAGAGACACTCTGGACCCCTAAAGCACTTTATCGAAAAAGCTTTATGAATGAAGTTTGTCCTATGTTTTCATTTTACAAAAAGTGCAGATTTCAAAGGCAATTGTCACTTTTATAAATTAGCCTGGTTACACCCCTCTGGCTGTCAATCAGAGAGCCGGTCCTGTTAATTCCTGGTTTGGTTAGCTCAGTGCAGCTAAACCCAAGAGGCAGCAATTGTCCAGAGCACCTGCCTCGCAAAGACTTCTCATTGAGCTGCATTGAGAAGTCTGTGATTGGACAGTCACAGTAAGTCTGGGGGGAGTTAGAAGGGAAGGGCTTGCAAAGACAGCAGACAAGAGATCTGCATTTTTGCTAGCTGTTTTTAAATATACCTCCAATGAAATAAATCACAATTAAATGCATGCAAGTTTTTGGGGGGAATATATATACTAGGAAATGATCAGTTATTTTGTATTTGAACAGTGCAGTGCCCCTTTAAACAGCTTTATATAATAAGAGAATTACCTGCTTGTGTTATCACACCGATAAATAATCACAAAGTACAATATATCATGCAGGCTGTAGATGCCAAACACCTTGACATTACTTATAAAGACATCTGCAAACACCAGGAAGTTACCATGGAAACAGAATACTGGATTCTCTGTCAATGGAAACCTGCTGGGTTCTACAGTCATGTCAATGTCATTAATTGAATTTCTCATTTAAGGTCACATTAAAGGACCACTATAGTGCAAGGAAAACATACTCGTTTTCCTGGCACTATAGTGCCCTGAGGGTGCCCCCACCCTCAGGGTCCCACTCCCATGGCGCTGAAGGGGGAGGAAGGGGTTAATCCCTTACCTTTTTTCCCCAGCGCCGGGCTCACTCTGCGCTGGGACTCTCCTCCCTCTTCTGACATCCCTGGCTGAATGCGCATGCGCAGCAAGAGCTGCGCGCGCATTCAGCCAGTCTAAAAGGAATACATTCTCAGTGCTTTCCTATGGATGCTGGCATCTTCTCACTGTGAAAATCACAGTGAGAAGCGCCTCTAGCAGCTGTCAATGAGACAGCCACTAGAGGCTGGATTAACCCATACAGCAAAAAGGGTTAAACCTAGCTGGACCTGGCACCCAGACCACTTCATTAAGCTGAATTGTCTGGGTGCCTATAGTGGTCCTTTAACCAAATTGTAACAATTCTCTCAGTCCTGTGTATTTACAGTTTAGCTATATTGACCTAATATTTTACATTTGCCAACAGAGGGCCGGTGGAGGGAATTAATGGTAAATAAAGAGATTGCTGGGTCCGACAGCTTACAGACTATTTAATAAAATTATGAATGTCAGGAGTACAGAAACAGGAGGTGGAGCCCAGAGCAACCATGTCTTGTTAATATCTTGAGATAACATCAGAAAAATATTACAATTATATGGCCTCTCTGGGCTTCTGTGGGAGGTAGCTAAAGGGAGCTTACAATCGGAGTGAATTTCAAATTTTAAAATAGAAAATTCACTTTCAATTCCCCACAATTCACACTACTGTCTAGAGTGAAAGGTATCTACACAGGGGTATCTGAAATGGGGATGATACATTCTTACACCATCTATCCTGGCACATCTCCCAACATGTCACATGGTGATAGAGGGGCACTGGGACTGCTGTTACCAGAAATTTGAGGTGACTTACTAATAACTTAATTTATACAATTAAATGTAATTTATAACAAGAACAACGTATCTTATTTACACAGACTGATTTCTAAACACATTTATTGTAGTTTAAAGACACATTACTGAGAGTATTATTGCTGTGGAGCTCAGACACATCAACAATATTAGAGGAGCCCCTATGAACAAGAAGACTCAGAATAGGGAACACAGCTACAAAAATTACCATTATGTAACCAACTCCTGATAAACACAATTTGATTAACCCTGTAATCACTGAGCAAAACAAGGATTAATGCTGGGACTGAAACAGGAAATGCAGGGCAGTGAGTAGCACTGAGAATGTACAGTCAGGAAACTGAACCTTGTATTGATTATTATTAATTGGAGGATGGGCAGAGATTAAACCTGCTCTCACCTGGCAAAGGCTGCAGGGAATTGGAGTCTTCATCCAGCAGGAAACAGTGTATCTCTGTGACCATATAGAACAAGGCAGCCTCACTGCTGGCAATGGGGCTAAATGTCAGACCATAAGGAAGAGAGGCATGACGGGAGATGTAGTTCTACTTATGAGGAGCCCCTCCCCGGGAATATGGCACCAGGAGCAGAGGCATGACGGGAATTGTAGTTCGTTTTTAGCATTGCACGTTTTAAAGGGACAAAAATAATGTGTTGCAGTAAAGATGTAATCCAAATTATTACTGTATGAGTTAATGGAAACATATACATAATGTCTTCATTGTAGTCTTCATTATTACTGTGTAAGGTAAAGGAAACATACGTGATGGGAGCTGTAATCCTTATTAATAATGTTTAAGCTAAAGGAAACATACATGATGGGAATTGTAGTCCTCATTATCACTGTATCAGTTAAAGGAAACAGAAACATGATAGAGTTGTAGTCCTCACTATTACTGTATGAGTTCAAGGGAACGGCTGCATGATGGGAGTTGTAGTCCTCATTGTTACTGTGTGAGTTAAAGGGGACAGCTTCATGATGGGAGTTGTAATCCTCATTATTACTCTTTTAGGTAAATGGAACAGATACATGATGGGAGTTGTAGTCCACATAATTACTGTATAAGGTAAAGGAAACAGATACATGATGGGAGCTGTAGTCATTACTATTGTATGAGTTAAAGGAAACAGCTACATGTTGGGAGTTGTAGTACTCATTACTACTGCATTAATTAAAGGAAACACACATAATGGGAATTGTAGTCCTCATTATTACTGTATAAGGTAAAATAAACAGATACAGAGTGGGGGTTGTAGTCCTCATTATTACTGTATAAGGTAATATAAACAGATACAGAGTGGGAGTTGTAGTCCTCATTATTAATGTATAAGGTAAAATAAACAGATACAGAGTGGGAGTTGTAGTCCTCATTATTGCGGTATGCATTAAAGGGAAAAGATACATTGTGGGAGTTGTAGTCCTCTTTATTGCTGTGTCAGTAAAGGGAACATATGCATGATGGGGATTGCAGTCCTCATTGCTGTGTCAGTTAAAGGGAACATGCTCATGATGGGAGTTGTAGTCATCATTATTTCTGTATGAGTTAAAGGTAGCATATGGATGATGGGAGTTGTAGTGATACCGGAGAAACTGACGGAAGCAAAGCACAGAGGGATGGACACAGGTTTCTTCAGGAAGGAAGAGATTCTTTATTGGATCACCGATCGGGACTCAGAGGGACTAATGTCACCAAAAATACAGCAAGTTCTGAGCCCTGAACAATAGTGCAGGCTCCCTATATAGGCACATAACTCCTCCCATATTAAGCTCCACCCGCACATTCTCTTGACCAATCATTACAAATAAGAATTAACTTCCTGCTTGACCGCATGGCTTGTCCAGCACAATGGAGGAGGGGAATACTACATCCTGTATTCTTGCACATGCTCCGTACACTACTGATCGTATCTTGCCTCGTGCAACCAACTGATCGATACGTCAGCATATGCACGTACACATGCCACGTGGTAATCTCGGCCTACTAAATTTATTTTTACCGAGATTCCACCACATTCCCCCCTTTGATGCCTCTTGATATTTTACAATTACTTGAGGCATCACTTAACCTTGGTTTGCATACACCACAAGTTACCTTTAAACCAGACCAGACTTATCCTATGATGTGAATCTTCAACACTCGTCTTCCTGCATTGGTTCTCCCTGATCTAGAGCCTTATATTTATAAATTGCCATTATCTGTGCAGCAGCCTTCCTCTCTGCTATATTTTCTATCAGGCTTTGCACAGACCTAACTACTAAGGGTATAAGACACGGCAGGAGTAGACACAACATTAAAATCAGTAGGACTCCACCTACCACTGCCTTAAGCCCTCCAAACCACTCATACCAGCTACCAAACCAACTACTTGGATTGTACCCTTTCCATACCTGAGTAGGCACATGCGCTAGTTTAACCATATGGCTAGTAAGCTCAGCTATTGCTTGCCCTTCGTCATCTATTTGAAGACAGCAATTGCTCAGGTTAAACTTCCCACATACACCTCCCTCTACTGCCAAAAGATAATCCAAGGCTAATCTATTTTGGTAAACTGCTGTCCTCATCCTGGTATTATGCTTCGCTAGAAGATTGAGCGCTTGTGATGTCTCGTTAGTAATGATCTCAACCACCGCCTGTAACCTTATAATGCGGTTGAGCATATAAATAGGGGTTCTATAACCAAAGGTACCATCCTCTGCCCACGTGGCTGGCCCATAATAATCTATAATACGCTGGGGAGGCCATTCATTATCTTCCCAGGCACCTATCTCTATGGGTCCCCTTTTCTTCCTATGATTCACATCATACACTTTAACACCTAAAGTCTCACCTGTTTCAATAGGCAACAAGAAGAAGGATGGTTTTAACATACCCAACACACATGCCCCTTCCCAGTCCTGTGGTAACTCCGAATAGGCCTTCTTACCACAGATCCAGTACAAATTCGCTGGGGCTCTCCAGTTAGATGTGATGGATAGATCAAACCATACGTCCTTTAAATTGGCATATCTTGCAAACGGGTTAGATGGTTCTGAGATATTTGAAGCCGACCACCAAGTTGTATTCTTTGTATCATCATCATAAGCTTTTTGCCCTAGACAAGTTAATTCTCCTACAGAAGTATTATACATCATTCCTTTCCTCGCTATGCAAACATAACCTATGATGGAGGTCTTCAATCTCCACTCAGATTTACCTCTAACACTCATATGATAGTCGGCTTGTGTAGATATTAATTGGTCAACTGCCTCAGAACCGGACATTACCTCCTTTGCTTCCCAAGGCCATTGGTCTCCCATGTTAGTACCTCCACACACATAGCAGTTGGTAACATTAAGACTACCGGCAATACTCTCGGCTAAATCAATGAACAAGTTTTTAGCATTATGGGGGATCTTATTATCTATGCTCATCTCTTCATAAAAGGAATGGTATACTTGATGAGTTTGGGAGGTTACCGTATCAGTCTCTATCCCTATAAACAATATTGTCCCAGGGTCTAAACCCGTCCCATATATTTGAAACCCAAATAAATTACCATATTTATCTAAGAACTTGTCAGGGTTATTTATAAGTATATGGATTGGATTGCATTCCATAGACTTACAATATGGATCAGTAGGCAACTTAGTCACAATCATGTCCTTGTCTGCTGTCTGTCCCCAAGTCGCCCACCCCACACAAGACCAATATGGGCAGAAGTTATAATCTCTATTTGGGCATCTTGGACTTACATATTTATTTTTACTACTGGGACAAATATATTTATCGTTAGACCCATACGTCCTCTCCCATCTAAGATCCCCACATACATTCCACGGCTTTCTACCACTTGATATTGCTTTACACGCATCAAATAGCAGAGCACCTGAAGAATATACGGATTTTAATACCGTCTTATTAATTAGGGTCCCCTGAGAATCTCCATTTCTGAGAGTCAACCAAATTGTACGGGGTTGATACTCAGGACTGAAGCACTTAGGTTCTCCTACTCCTAAATGACACACACTATATTCTATATTTAAGTATCTACATCTTGATACATCTCCTTTACACTCATATTGCGAATGCCAAATTAGGGTCTGGGATATATGGTTACCTGTTCTTGTAGTCTTAATGCATACCTCACAGCTAGGAGTGTTGGTACCTCTACCTTCCTGAATATAAAAATACACATAAATAAACATTATTAAAATACATCTTTCGTCGTCATCCTCAGTCTTCGTCCGTGTGAAGGCACCTCAGCTTCCAGGATGTAAGGACTGCAGGGAATGGAGTTCTGCTCGTCTTCACAGGGGTCCCCTCAAGACTTTCCCTGACTTATACACTCGTTGGTGAGTGGACAGGCTTTATTATGGCCTTCTCACTCACTTACCAAGTCTCTGAAACAATAAAATTTATAATCCACAAGGTTCCTCGTCACTCCGACTGAGTCGTGCGTTTTAACCGGATCTTGCAGGGATTCTCTGGATTTGCTGTAACTTGCCAGGAATCGGCTGCTGCTGGTTTAACCCTGGAGTGATGTATCCACGGAGCCACTTCGGCTACTTTTATCGCTGTAGGGGTAGACAGAAGAACAACATAAGGACCTCTCCACTTGGGCCCTAACGGCACATTATTCCACTCTTTAATCCACACTTGGTAACTATGAATTGGGGGATAAATATTCACAGGTAATCTATCTTGTACCCATTTCTGTACCTCCTCCATAGTCTTACCCAACTCTACAACCTGCTGCCGGGTAATTCCTTCTCCCAACTGACTCAAATCCCCCCTTAAGTTACCAAGCACGGGAGGTGGTCGCCCGTACATGATTTCAAAAGGAGAGAGGCCCATCCTTCTGGTAGGTGTACTACGGATTCGCAATAGAGCTATGGGCAAGAGAACGTTCCACTTAAGTTGGGTTTCCTGACACATTTTAGCCAACTGATTCTTAATAGTTCTATTCATTCTCTCTACCTTACCAGAACTCTGGGGTCTATATGCCGTATGAAGCCTCCACTTTATACCAAGCATATGAGTCAATTGTTGTAGGCACTGATGAACAAAAGCTGGACCATTGTCCGATCCTATAGAGCAGGGTAGTCCATATCGGGGTATTATTTCTCGTAGCAGGAATCTCACGACTTCTCCTGCTTTCTCTGTACGAGTAGGACATGCTTCTACCCAGCCTGTATAGGTGCACACCACTACCAGCAGGTAGCGATGTCCACCCGATTTAGGCATCACTGTATAGTCAATTTGTAAATCGGACATGGGAAGTCCCCCCATAAACTGGACTCCTGGTGGCTTTACTGGTCCTTGTCTTGCATTATTTTTAGCACACGTTACACATCTACGTACAATGGCCTGAGTCAAGTTGGACAATCTTGGTATGTAGAAATGTTTTTTGAGAGATTCTTCTGTACTGTCTCTCCCAGAATGTGTCCCGTTATGATAGTTTTGGACAATTTCTACCGCTAGTGATGCTGGAATAACTATTCTTCCATCTTCTAACTGATACCATTTGTTCTCCAAATGCTTTCCAGGTTCAGTCCTTAACCACTCCTCTTCTTGAGCTGTATAAATTGGAGTCCATTGAGACAGTGGAGTTGGTATAAGAGCAGCTATATGCCCCACATATTCCTGTCTTCCTGATTCAGCAGCACGCTTAGCTGCACTATCTGCCATCCGAT